TGTTTTCATAGTAAAAAGTAAACAAAGATAACTTAGGTGAGGAAATTGATTTTTAAAGACTTAAGGGAATTTTATCAACTCTATTTGGATTGTGATTCAAAGGAAGACACACCAAAACAAAACAAAAAACATTCTAGTGGTCTGAACACTGAGTAGATATTTGATGATGATGAAAATAAATATTAATTTTTAGATGGGATCATAGAACCATGATTGTATTTTTAACAGTCCTTATCTTTCAGGGCTAGATACTAAAAACATTTGCAGATGAAATCATAAGCTCTCTGAAATTACTCCAAATTAATCCAGGTGATGAGGAAGGAGCATGTGAAGTAGAAATGAAATAAGATTGGATACGAGATTAAAAAGTGATCAACTCATGATATATAGATGCCAAAAATTTTTATTTATTAGTCTCTGAATGTTTATATGTTTAAATTTTTCTATAACACAAAGTTCTAAAACCAGATGGTGGGCATATATAAACCAGATAAAGCAAAAGAGAAAAAGCAAAGCTTTTCACATTAGACAAAATGTATTGGTCAGATTTTGCTGCTCGTAGCAAAAAGAAGCTTACAGAGAATGGTGCTGTGACAGTTCCAAGATCAGAAAGGTATTGGGGAACAGTGTGCCCCAGATGACAGTGTGTCAGCAGTGACCAACGCCAGATGGAACCAAGGTAAGTGTCTTCCTTTCTCTTTCCAATGCAAAGACTGTCATTAAAGGTGAAATTATTCCCTTGCAGAGTAAAGACTAACCCATTTTGCAGATGAGAAAACTGATGCTCATATTAAATAAGCAAAGCACCACTGGCAAGCCAAATGAAGAAGCCCTTGTTAGGAACATGGAGAGGCTTCCCGCCAGCCAACACAGATCCACTCTTGGCCCTAAGCTACTCAGCCATCCCAGCCTACAGTGTCACCGCTGCAGGCTCTCCCACTACAGCGTCCTCTACCACCAGGACTCCAACTAAGTGTATTATTTCCCACCTGCTCCCTAAACCTAGAATCTCCTAAACATGTTTTACAGTTTGTATCTATTTGCTTCTATAGATTTTCAATTCTGAACAGTAAGAAAAAATTTGAGGCATTACTATAAATAGCCACAGCTAGAAAGTTGCAGGGTGATAAGATAGAATCACAGGTACATCTATTTAGTGAGAAGAACTGGCCTGGTACCTGATGCAGCACTGTAGCCCAGATCCCAGGGATAGGTGACTACAACATGGGAACATACCACTGTGACCCACGTACTTTGGCCTAAATTGCTCTCGAGTACAAGGCCTTTATAGGTGAAGTGATGAGATGTGGAACATGATCTTTATACCAGCAGCCACTGTGTCCACTGTGGCTATTATCTGTGATATGTTAGAAAACCACTAGTCTATTTCTTGGGAATCAAGAGACCCCCCAGCTGGAAGTAAGCTATTCCTGATAGAACGAGAGGTCAGAGCAAAGAAAACAAATGGATGGCCATGCACCAGTCGCCTGAGGAAGGAGGCCATGTGGTGAGCTGGCTCTCACTGAGGTTGATTCTATCACATGAGCTGTTTGGGGGTGCCCTAAAGGAGGGACCCTGGTCTTTAATCAGGAATGTTGGGACAGGTCTTCCCTACTGAGGAGGCAGTCTGCTGGCAGGGCCAGTTCCCATGAAACTACCCTGAAGATGAAGGGATAAGGTAAGAGAAAGCCAATTGCAACCCCAAGGGTGACTCCTACTCACTTCAACCGATTCCCACTGAGAAAAGTCATGGCGGCCTAAGCACGGTCATGCTGTGTGAGCAGCACAGCTGGCCAGGAAGCTAGGTCCTGACACTCACTTCCTGCTGATCACACCAAGCTTGCAGGAATAGAGACTGGAGTCACCAGCCCTCCTGCACTGGAACTTCCTACTGAGGCAGCTAGAACTTGCTTTGATCCAGCTCCCTCCCCACCTGTCTCCACCCCTCCACCTTCCCATACACTCAGAAACTACAAATCCCAGCATGTCATGCAGCCACCAGGTGTGGGAGGGGGGAGATGGAGCAGAGGGGAAATGCAGTCCTCTGTCTTCTGGGATATGGATGCTCCCAAGGACAGTGATCTAAGTGACCCAGTATTAACACGTTGGTTTCTGACCATATGACACAAGTGGCAAAAACATCAGCCCGAAGCTACAAAGCAGCTGCAAGGATGTGATAGGCCAAAGGCCGCACCCCCCAGCCTTGGCACTATGATCTCACTGACCTCCCCATTCCCAGTCTTCTCCCCTAGCCCCCAGCCTGCTGTCAGTGTGTGTCTTGCTCAGGCCCTTCAAACCCTCATGTGTCACTATGGATACGTAGCACACAACTCCACCACATCACTTACCTTTCAGACATGTCAATGATTGGGTTCAAATTAACTTCTTTGAGAGGCAAGAAAGACAAGTGGGAGCCCAGCCCCTCCCATAAGAGTCTGTGTTCGGATTCAGTCAAACCCAAAGTAACTCCCCAAATCTCTGCCTCTCTTTCCTTTATCTCCTCCCTGCCCCCGCTGCCCACAAGTCATGGTGACCAGCAGCCATATGACAGGACACTTTCACTACCCACACCCAACCCCACCCTAAACCTAGAGCCAGAGCTGGGCTTGCCCCAGGGAGGGAGCAGTTCCTCCCACAGGAGAGGGCTGTGGTGCTGGCATCCTGTGAAACTGTTATGTGGGTTGGTTGGCATAGTAATTGAATGGACTTCTTGGATTGGCCTGAGGGACTGACCACCATGTATAAATATTATTTGAATGAATGTGTGGTGTTGTTTCCATGGAGAAAAGCTCTCCAAGCTGACAGCATCTGACCAAAAGTGACCTTGGGGACACTCCTCTTTGTGCTCTGTGGCCGACCTCAGGGAGTGGTTGCAACTGCAGAGAAAGCACCCGAGAATCCTCACCCATGGCCTGGCATGGCTGACAGTGGGTCGGAGGAGAATGTAGGCCGGTCTGCTCCTCTCTTCCACTGAGGCCAGGAAGGAGGGCCGGCTGGTGCCTGAAGCCCCTGAAACCTGGAGATTGAGAGGGGGGGGGGGGGAGGGGGGAGCAAAGGTGGCCCAGAAACTGCATCCATCGCCTGACCCCAAAAGGACTGGGTCAGCTGCTTCCTTTCAATCCCGCCGGCTCCAGGGCTGGGGGCAGTGGAGCGAGGGTTCCGTGGCCGAGAAGGGGCTGCAGCCACGCAGGCGTCGCGCTCCGCTCGCCCTGCCGCAGAGCGCGGGTTCCGCGGGCACCAGGGGGCAGCAGAGGCGGACAGACGCGCGGAGTTGGGGCGCCGGCGCGCGGAGCAGGGCTCCCACCCCGGAGCGGCCGCCCCCCACCCGCCGGTGAACCGAGCGTTTCCCCGCCAGAGAGGGGGAATCCGTTCCGACACTCGGGTTCCAACACTGAGGCTTTGTCTTTGGAGACGGGACGATCAGGGTGGTGCTGGCTGGGATCCTCCGTGAGGAAAAAACACGGGGATCAGGGGCGAGGGCCTCACCTGCCTGAACGCCAGGGCTCCCCACCCCCCGCTCTGGGGGCTGCGGATGCGGACCGGTACTAGCGCGATGCATCCTCGTCCCCCGCGCCCCTCCTGCCCCCCAGTCCAGGCGTTCAGCCGGGGGTGGGGGGACGTCCGGATTGGAAGAAAGCCCGGGGATACGTTTGATTCTGCCCAGGACAGGCGTGAAAGCCTGGAAATGTGAGGATGCAGAGCCCCAGAAAGGGGGAAAGGAGGGGTGGGGAGAGAGGGAAGCAGCTAGGGAACCCAGCTAAGAGACTCAGTCTGGACCCAAGAGACTGACGCAGACACCTGACCCGGAGGAACCGCTGAACAAGTCTGAGAGGGGTCACTGCATGAGTAAGGGCCCCCCACCCCCACCCCAGCCCAGTGGGAGGAGACTGCAAGGACTGAGTCTGGACACAACTAAAAGCCTGGAAGGGTGTTGACGGTGCAGCAGGCAGGCGTGGGGGCAGGGCCACAGCGCTGGCTTCTTTGGCTGAGAGGAATGCGGTACCAAAGGAACGGGTGCTGGGAACCTGTCACCTCAGCCGCCTGCACCTTGCAAACAGTTGACAGACCCCCGAACCCCCCCCCCATCTGAGGCTCCTAAAGGGAAGGGGGAGAGTCTGGGAATCACCCAGAGCCAATCCAGAGCCACGGGAGAGGTGGTTCTTGTCAGCGTGTGGACACTCTTGGGGCCCTGACACCCCAACTGGACAAGCCCACCAGGGAGTAGGGAATAAGCCATCCTTTCTGATAACAGTTCAGCCTGGCCGGGCCTGGGTGGGGGTTGGTGGAGACTGAAAGAACAACACAAGCAGCACACACACCCCGCGAGAAGACAATCACATTATTTAACCATCAGTCAGAATGGGCGCTGGCCATAGGGCTGAACAGGGTGCCGGGAGTCCCTTCATCCACATGCCACGCGTTAACCCTTCAACTGCAGGGTCAGAGATGAGGGTGCCAGGGGAGGGGCTGGGATGGCCAGGGTGGCGATGGGATACTCAGGGCCCTTGTGGGTTCCCAGCTAATAATATTTTCATTATTTCAACATACAGGCCCCACACATATCCCTCGTGTTACAGTTCTCCCCTGCGGGAACTGGCCTGGTCCCCACTGCATTGCAGGCAGTTTCTGCCAGCCCCAGACCAAGTGAAAGACAGCGGGTGTGCGGGTCAGGGAGCCAGCACCCCAGTAAGCAGGGATGAGGAGCCCACCCCAGGAAGTCACAGCCCTGAGGCAAAGGAGACAGTTATATTCCAACGTTCACAGTGGGTACTGCAGGAGGGGCCTGGGGGAGCTGGGGTTCAGCCAGAACACCCCCCACATAGTCTTTGAGGAAACCATGAGGCCAGGGTTAGGGTGCAGGCTCACCCTGGAGAGCCCTGCCTCCAAAGTTCGCAGAGTTTTGTCGGCATTTCTCTTTATCTTTTTTGTCATTTTGTTTTCCATTCTTTAAATAATTAATATAATTACTTTTAAATACAAAATACACAGTGTCCTTTCTCTTCTCTTCCTCTTGTTTGGGGTGACTGGGAGATGAGTTTTTAAATAAGGATTTCAGCTGTCAAACAGGTCACAGGCTCCAGGTGGGAGGGCCAAGAGCCCCAGATGCCACCCCCGAGGTGTCCTGGCACCCACTTCACCCCTCCCTGGACTGCCCCTAACAGGGGGCTCTCAGTGCCCTGGCCCAAGGCCCCCTGGATGGTGAGGAGCCCTCTTGGGGGTGGCACAGAGCCGATGCTGTGGGATTCCAGGTGGCCTGGATTTGATGGACAGGGTCAAAGAAGGTCCTAGCCCATGAAGCAAACTGGTCCCAGCAGCACCCCTCCCCGCCTTGGGGGAGCCCCCAGATCTGAGAAAGAAGCGTCCAACACTGGCAGCTGCTCCAGCACAGGGGTTCGCACCTCCAGCACCGTCCGGCCCTGCTGTGTCTTAGGAGAGAGACGAGAGGTAGTGAGCGTGGTGGAGGCACACACACCCCACGGCCCCTGACCCAAGGCCCAGGCATCTCTGCTCTGAGCAGCGAGATGCTAATCCGCCAAGCTGTCACATGGTCAGACTTGCCAAAACTTCTGTCAGTGAGGATTGATAAATGTAGGAAGGGGTGTGTGTGTGTGTGTGTGTGTGTGTGCACGCACCATGCTTGACAGTCCATGTAGCCTTGGGTTTGTCCTTGAGAGGATCTGCCTATGATGGCTGTGGGAGTCTGTGTACATGTCTGCAGGTATAAAACTGCGATGACAGCTGGCATGATTCCTTATATGTGTACCTCTGTAGCTCTGTCCAGGCAACTCTAGGGATGTATTACAGATTGGGGGTGTTGCTGTGTCCCTGTGCCTTCATGGAAGGTATCTGTACCCCCATATGCCTCTTCTGGCAATCTGTGCAATTGTTTGCATAAGTCCATGTGATTCTGGATGACATAGCTGTGTGCACAGGGGGACCCCAGCTTCCATCCTTCCCACATGCTTCACCCCCATCTGAGTTCCCACAGGCATATCTGAAACTAGGAAGCTCATCCTCTGGCTCCCCCTGGATGCCCATGACCAAAGGGTTTTCCTCAGTCTGATTCTGAAGCCAACCCCCACCCAGCTCTTCCTGGTGCCCACCTGACAGCCATCTCTGAATTCCTTGACATAGGGGCTAGTCTCCGGGCTCAGCTCATCCTCATTGGCCCCCCGGAGCCTCAGAGGGCCATCCCGGGCCACCCCAGAGCAGGGGTAGGAGACGTCCTGGTGGGCTGAGACACTGAGCAGCCGCAGGAAGGTGAGCTGGACCACGCCGACAGGGGAGCCTTCCGAGTCCACATAAGAGAACTGGCAGGAAAGAGGCTGTGTCAGGGCAGAGAGCTCCAGAGCATGGACAGAGTGGGGTGCTGAGCCAGAGTCATGAGCCAGGCAGGAGTGGCAGAGGGGTCAGATTGGGGTCCGAGTGGGAGCCAGGGGCTGAGGGCAAGTGACAGGCAAACTTATCTGCCAGGGGAGGGGCTGGGATGGCCAGGGTGGCGATGGGATACTCAGGGGGTTCAGGGCCAGCAGGCTCTGTACTTGAGGGAGCCAGAAACCTGGCTGACGGGGTACAGGCGAGGGCAGGGTAGGGGCAGTCAGGGCTCAGCTCTCACTTGGGTGACATCATCCCTGGGTGTCACACAGGTTTCTCCTCCTGCTGTAAAGTTGCAGAAAACCCGGAAGGCGTCCCGAGCGCAACCTTGGTTGGGGTCCACCCAGTAATCTCCTGTTGGGCCAGAGAGAGGAGACAGTCAGGGCCCTGAGGCCTCAGACCCAATGTTCCCCACCCCCACTGCTCTACCCCCACAGCCCTCCCCACAATGCCGCCTCCCAATCTTTCTGCTCTCCCACCCGAGCCCCATGGCACAGCCCACCCTCCATCAGTTTCCCTCATCACCGGTACCCCCCACCCTATCTCTGATGTGCCTGTTCCAGCAGGAC